CAACAAAGATAACAGAATAAGCAGGGCAAAGGAGGAAGACACACTTTCTTCACTTTCCTGTATCAAAGGATATACATCCAATCTAGAAAAATATCCTGAATTCTGAAAATCCTCCATTCCATTCTACAGTAAAGCCCATGGTTTAGTCCTGTCCTCTGTCTCAGGAAGCAAAGAAGCCAGCTTTGTCCTCGCAGGTCACTCATCTCCAGGACTGGAGCTGGACTACCTGCACAGAAGGTACAGGGTGATCTCCTCACACATGGCACAGCCCGCTGGCCTACCCCGCACAAACGTTCCATTCATGCTGCTCTTCTACCGCAGGGGACACGGTACAAGGAAAACGTTTATAACTATCCTACACTGAGTTTTATTAGGCTCTCTCTTAAAAATACTCCCTGTATTAATGTAGTAAGATAGCTCTATACAAACTGAGTAGCAATTGCTTCAGAAGTGAGTATCGAGGACTTCATATATGTACTATCTACACTGACTTGGTTTTACTATAAAGTGGCTTTCAGAAGGCTACAACCACTTTTCTGCATTTCCTACATAACTAATCGCTCAACCTTCCCAAGCCAACTTCTTCATCTGCTTCTGAAAAGATCTGTATTATTTTCAACTGCTCTAAGGCCGGGTTTTATCATGCCGTGTAGCCAAACGTTATACTAAGAACGCTATGTGCAATTCAGAAACACAAAATCGGATTACAGTCATCCCTGTTCAAGCAACTAAGTCCTCTTAGTGCACACAAATTCTGCAAGATCGGGGGGTTTATGCTCCATTTTTGGCCAGCACTGTGTAAACACTCTCCAATCGCACAACTCCTACAGCGACACAAAGAAAGGGTGCTTTTTATTTTTCCCTGTGTGCAATGTTTCTGCAACGCCCATAGACTTCATACAAGAAAGACCATTAGTTTCTATATAAAGACTGCCATAAAAGTTTTATAGTTTCTATAAATGTATAAAGATTGTTGGTTTCATTATAAACTCTGTTTCGATGCCAGCGGAAAGAAAAATTACTGGCAGAACAGAAGTAGCAATCTGCATAAGTACCAGGTTGCAAGCATGCATACCTCAGTCACTCTCGTAGTAATTAACTGATACATAGAATAGTCCATCAAATTACAGATGAGTCGTCGTACCCACTTGAAGCAGCTCACAAATGGGAACTATCACCACATAATTTTTTCTTTCCCTTCCAGATGAGCTATAAGGATTAAAACAGTAAGGAGCCAAACGATGCACTACACAAAAAAAGCCATTGCAAAAATACATCGCATTTTACAAAATTGTACAATTCCTGTTACGCTTTCCACTGATTGACTACTTTCTATTTTTATATATTTATACATCACCTCTTAGCTCAAAATACTCCTTCTGAATGAAGTTCATATCTTTGCAACAAACTTCCTTATAATAAAATTAATTATCCCAGCATAGCTGTAAATCTTGGGATTAATCTTTAAAATAGTGGGCAGCCAATATTCATATGGTGATAAGAGTAAAGGGACCTGGACGTAGTTTGGTATTTTTAATATTCCACTATGGATTTCACCTACAAAAAAAGTTTTAAAAAATTAACTTCATTACTATAGCTTTAATAGGAACCGAAACCAGGGAATTTAGCAGTACAGAACTATTTTTCTGCTAGATCACTGACTTCTTCTTTTTTAAAGGATACTTCTACCTATAGTGACTGTATTTCACCAAGAATAACTAAGAGTACTCATGTCTTTTAAATTCTGAGACCACTGCTAAAAATCTAGCACTGAAAAACTGTTGCGTATAATGCCAACAATTACTGTTTTTCAAGCTAGGTACAACTGCATATACATAAATACACGTTTTAATAATAAGAGCTATTCTAAAACACCCTAACAAGTTAATATGCTCTTATATTTTTAAAATGTATTTCAAGATTACTTCAGCCCCCCTCCTGCCATTCAAAAAAAGCCCCCTAGTTTTAACCATTTCACGTGGCCTGGAGCAATCATTAGCATTTTCTCTCCTTAGTAAGGCTCCTAAGATACCTCGTCTATGACATTTTCTATAAAATATTCCGTTATACAGTTATTTAAGAGATTTAAATCGTAGATGTCACTGTGGTCCGAACGTGTCAAAGACAACTTGAGGGCAAAAAATCAGGCCACGCAGAATTCACTTTGTCAGTAATTACAATCAAAATTCCTGCAATGTGGCTAGTCTGCTCATTACTTCCTTACTTTGTATCAAACCCCTTATTTACATTTCAGATTACATTTTTCATGAAACAGTAACATCTATCAGAGCTGAGAGGACTGAAATAATGAGGGAGAAATATTTTAATAAAACGTGTTGGGTCTGCATTACTTCCGTGTCAGAAAGAAAGGTTTCTTCTGTAGCGATGGATCATTTATTCTGTCTCTAAATGAGAAGCAAAAGATGAAACTGATGAACTTTTACTGCCCATTTGTCTTTAGCAGACAATTAAGACAGAAGATCAAAATGGATTATCATACCACGCAGACAACTGGCCCAACAGTAATACATCTCCGGGACCACAGATTTGTAACTCTCTTTTATCCCTCCCCTTTCTTCTTACTCCTTTTTCCTCTCTAAAGGCAATGCTAGCTTTGTGGCTCAAGGGGAGCCAAAAGGCTGGTCATCATTATTCAGTCACAGATGTCAATCTAACCTCCCTTTTTTCTCAGTTTCTAAAGCAGTGAGGCACAATAATTTGTGACAGATTCTTTTACTGTAAGGTACAAAGAACACACAGAATAAAACATCTAGCAGCAGCGAGGGTCTCTGATCAGATGTGCTGGTACATGGGAAATACAGTGTATGTAAAAACAAGCACTGATAGTTTAGATGAATAAAAAAACTTGAGGTGGTTTTTTTTCCTTTTTTTTTTTTTTCTTACTAATAAGTGCTTTACCTTGTGTTGATTTAACTCAAATATTCCTTCTGGATTAAATCATAAATGTTTGATTGCTAGAAACATTTCTGCCTGCACCAACATGCGTGTCACCTCTTTCCTTTGCATACAGCATACATGCAGGAAAACTGAGTTTCGTAGCGTGTATCTATCTTCAGTGACACTGCATTTCTAAAATGTTTTCTTCCAAAAAACAACAAACCAGAAGTTTTAAGAAATAAACCTACTTGACTGATTTGCAGCCTCTACGTTTCTCAGAGCTCTAGATTAATCAGGAAAAATGTGGATGTAGCTCTTTTCTACGTTTTTTTTCTCTATAGCTTACTAGAATATCCAGAAATAAGTGATTTTTCAAATCTAAACTTGTCACCTTCGGATGTGTTCTCTTCTTAAAGAATGTATAGCTACTGTTAACACAGAAAATGCTCCTTCTGCCCATCAAGAAGGAAAATGTTTTTAAAATGTATTCCGAGTTTGAAGAGTTTAGCCTCCTTTCTTTTGCTTTCCGTGTAAGTTTCTAAGTGCAAAACATCTGATAATTTAAAAATCCATTCAATCCCCACCAACACACAAATGCACTACTGTGTGTTTTGTAGGGTCTGACATAAGAGATAGGAAATTATGTCCATAACTGGGTGAACATCTTAAGAATTATATATGAGCCTGTGCCTCCTCTGAGTTTGATTCAGTCTTGCATATTCATAGCATTATTATACAAGTCTAATCATCTGCAGCGGCAGGAAGAGGACTGTTAAGAAATTCATAAAGTAAATTTTATGTACAAGACTCTCTTGTAATACCTTGATCATGGACACAATTGTCTGTACCAGCTCTGAAGGACCATCAGTTCATGCATGACCAATATGATACACTATAATGAGCTGAAAAGTAGTCTATCATGTAAATACAAACTTAGTGATCTATTTATTCACAAATTACGCACTGACAGTGGCAGTGAGAATGCAGTCCCCCAAAAAAGTTTAGTTCCATGCTATATTTCATGTGTAAATCAAGTCCTAAAACTACAGTGAAAAGCAGCTGGGTAGTTGAATAGCTGCTTTAAAGGGGAAAAAAAAATAATATTACTACTGTTACAAAGCCATCCGGAAGGCCTGGTCAAGGTCCCATTGCACAGAGTGATCGCAGCCAAATATGAAAACATTTGCTCTGGTCCTGATAAGCTAGCACATCTGATCATTTGTTAAATGCTTCAACCTAAATGCCACAAAATTCCATAATCAGAGGGAAAGGATCTGAAATAAAATAGCTCTGCTGACCCTAACTGACTATCAGAGACCCACCAAGGCAAAATTTATTGTTATATTAAATAGTTATACAATGCCATAACTTCAGCACTTCCCAGATCTAAAGGTCCAAGAAATGAGCCTGTGCTCCCAATCCAGAGGCAGCAGTTGCCCCGATCGCTGGCAAACAATACCAGCGCCTGAACCCCTGCGGTCCGCACAGACAGCGCGGCACTAATCCCCTCTCGCCAACCTCCGACCCCCGCCCCAACCCACTTCTAATGAGACCCAGTAGAACACAAGGTCGCTTGAAGTTGTTAATTTCTAAGTCAGATCCTGTGAAAAATTCCAGGTTCGATCTGTGTATAAATGAAATGATAAATACCTGCGTGTTTTATCTGCACATTTGTATTTCTACACCATCTTTATGAACCAGACTAGAGACTGCATGATCAGGCAAGAATTTCAAAACTGTTCTCTACTGCCAGGTGCCCAGTTAAATATAACTATAAACCTTTCAGACAATGAAGTGAGGACTGCCAAATGAACTGCAGGCTATGGCACCTAAAGGCAAAAAGTGAAATTTATTAATCAATTTTCCTTCCCACTCTCATGTCTTCTTGTAAAAACTAGACTGTAAAACAATCTTATGAGATCCAAAATTCTTCCATTTTCTGCTTTAAATGTAAAAATGTTTTTATCCTTCTGCTCTTAATTACAGTTTCTTTTTCTTTCTAAGAATGCATTTATCTCTTTCAGTAAAAAGAGCAGCAATAATATGTTGAACAAGCCTGAAATAAATTTTGTCATGTAAAAAATTAATTACGCATTCCAAACCTGGTCACTGTAGCCCTCTGGGAATTGCCTCCGCACCTCAGGATCTGTAAATAATTGACAGATAATATTAATTGGCTTTGGATTAGTGAGCAAGCAGAGAATCACACATTAATATTTGATCAGAAGATGATAGCAACCCTGGCAGGGGATCCAAGGAGGGCAGCTGAGGCTGCTATGTTGATAAGAGCAGGGAAGGACTTTTCAAGGCTCTCCCTTTACCCTCCTCCAGAAAGACAAAAACTGTGCATAAAACATACACAGGCCAACCACATGAAACCCAAACTATTTGTGTGTACGTGTATGTGTACGTATATATTTATAGATAAATAATTTTGTAAGAGATGTCCTGTGCCACACTGAACTTCAGTCTGCTGGCCCGGCTTGTCACCAGAAAACAGTTACCAAATGCACGTAAATTCTTAGGTTCTAAATTCTCATCTAATAGCCAGTTTTGCCAGCGACAGACACTATGTTGATTAGAGTCCTTAAATAGTTTCATTTATAAATGAGTTTATCCAGCATTTAAATTCCAGTTTAATTTATCCAGAATTTGAAAGAGGTAATTAACGTAGCCCTGGAACCTCTGTCATCAGGAAAACAAATGTTAAACACTTCAGATTAGCAAGTATTCAAGACTGATGCAACATCCTTATTCGTTTGGCTGTCAGAATAAATAATATGGTAGTATTCCCTGAGAAGTTTTCTTAAATTTAATTAGAGATGTTCATAAAACAACAGAATACTGTGATTGAAATTATTTATACAACAACCTATTTAAGACAGAACTCTTCAAAGCCATCCATTTTTCAAAGGAATACAGCTGAGAAAGCCAGATTCCATTCTACAAAGAATTTTTTTAATTACAAAAAACAAACCATACAACAATCACACAAGAGTTCAGAATAAAGCTTAATGCATGGAAAGAAACCACTGGTATCCTCTGCAGTTTCTCCTCTTTGCGCAATCCGAGGGGTTTGGCTGCAGGACGTTCGGCTCCCTGAATGCACTGGTTCCACCAACGTTGATCGTTACGTAGGGAGTGACACTGCAGACACAACCTTTGCTGCCGAATTGTTGCTACACTGCGCTGGAGCTAAGGCTGACGGGGAAGAGAGTCACTTGTATGGCACCTGGACCCTACACTGGTATTTCAGAATCCTAGATTTCTCATTGGCAAAGTTTACTTTAGTAATAAATTAGTTGATCGGTGATTTCATCGCTAGTGGATGCATTTATGCTGGAGATACAGCAAGAGTGTACACTATTAAACCTCCTAGCTTAACTTTTTCCAGACAATCAGATGCTTAGTTTTAACATTTCCCTATTACACACATACAGCTACATACACAATATATCAAGTTTTACATATGCATATGAGCAAACCCTCCTACATTAACGCAGCGAAGCAGAAATAGCAAGCAAGGGATCATCTTTAAAAACCTTAGACTGAAAAATCTTAAATCTATAGGCAGGTAAGTGTGCCAAGCTAAGGGTCCTAACATGCAAATAAATGTGAACTCACCTGGCAAGTCCTTTATACACAATTAACAGGATAATACAGTTTCGTATTTCACCAAAGCAAGCACAGTATCAGTGGTAAGATGAAACTATGCAATATCTGTTATGATGTATATTCTTAGTATTTTTAAGGATATTTTTGTGAATTGATACCCTCACACAGACAGCACTATTTCACTCACTGGATTAAATGTTACCACACTGTAACTTTGAAATAGATGTGACTGAGATTAGAGTCCCCACTTGAGCCAGTTTGAGCCAAGTGAACGTGTTCTCAAAGCGCACAGTCCACAATTCTGTTTTCATCCAAAAAATGGATCTCTCAGTGCTATGATACCTTCTTAAGCTAACTTGTCTTTAATATAAGTAAAAGCTTCCTGCGTCAATCAACTGCATAAATTGGAAGAAATTTAATTCCATCTACAATGAAATGCAGGGAATTAACTTCTCATCACCAATTTCAGTGGAAATAACAGCAATACGTACTTAGCTGGAGAGGCAAAGCACCCTGTGGCATTGCACTGGCTGTGACACCCGGTAAGACAGTGGGATGCACAGTTGTATACAGTCTGCTTTTGATGACAAATCTCATAGCGTGGCTAATCCATATAACCTGGAACCCTGCAGTTAAGAAAACCACCTTTACATTATGCCTGGCAGCCAGACGTTTGCAGGTCTTCCTGTTTTTACAAGTCCTTGCTATTTAACACTGCATCAGCTCCAACATTCCAGCTTTTAAATGGACTGGGAATATTTACCAAACTTTCAATATCTCTATTTGGAAAACACTACACAACGGGAAAAAAACCCTACTTCACATCTTCTTATAACTTTCATCACTTTATCCATTCTTCATTGTTAATCTAATGTTCATTCGAAAAGCATTTTCAAATACGCTTATCTACACATACATGCACAATAAAATTATAGTTAAATTCTACGTGGTCATTACATGAAGTTCCAGGAAGGTGGAGCACCCTCACTAAACCAAGAAGGTTTACATAAACATGTACATTTAAATATGGACATCAAGACAGTTTATGAAACACAAATATCTACAAAACAAACATGACTATTACTCAGTATGGCCAGGCTGTTCTTTAAAAGCATAACCATAAGGCACCTAATAATCACAATGGACATCATATCCAAGTTATTCTAAGCAGAGGAAAACAGTCACACAAACGAAGGGATGCAGGAGGGTACGAAGCACTCAGGATTCAGCTTCCATCAGCACCACTAGTATCAGCAAAATATGCTTCAGCAGTCACATAAAACACTGGGTAAAGACATGAACATAACTGACTGTCAGCTCTGCCTCTACAACTAACGCGTCGTGAAAACTTCAAACGCTTTTACTAACGGAAATGTGTTTTGCACACCGCGTGCAAACAGAGTTAGGCCTAACTCCATTGTATTTCCAACGAGTAAGAAAACCCTTTGCAACTCAAAACAGAGCGAGTGCTCTGGTTCCATACTAAGTGAATACAGTTTGCATTGCTAACACATTTGTATTTCCCTCTAGTAGCAGAGATTCTACCTCACATCAATGCACATTATGTAGAGCGTTGTATTGATAACCATATTTAAGCTATTATTCATAGTATTTTAGTAAATATGCGAATGTTTCCAAGTACTAAAACCTATTACTGTCTCTCCCTACAGAATCTGGTTCCACAAAAAGCCAAATACAGGAAAATATTGAAATTAGCTGTGAACTGTATAATCCCATTGTTCAATTTCATGGCATTTAAGACACTACCTTCCCCTCCTCACAAGTCTAGATGTTAATCCATGCTGTAACTTGATTTAATTTTCCAGATGACAGGATGGGAACATGCTACAATGGCATATTAGCGTAACTATGCTGTTCTTATGCTCTCAACTTTTCTCACATCATAAAGTGAAGAGTTTTGCTTTTGAAAGAGGTATGCTTAATTACTTCTAAAAATAGCACAATCCAAACTTATATGTATTTGAAGTATGTATTCGAATTATAAAACCAGGGAAGTTCTTCAAAATTTATCAGAATAGACTTCCCAGACTTAACCATACAAACTCAGTACATACTAACCTGCTTCTTCTGATCAAAGTCAGCCAATTGAATCCATACTGGTTACAAATAAATCAGATATACTAATCTCAAATAGAAAAATACCACGAAAACCACTTCATTTTTTCTCCCTAACTAAACAACTTAGCTCGTTCATTTCTTTAAGGTCTTCATAGCTGCAATGAAACGAAATGGAATTCTGTTTAGAGCAACTATCATTTCACTACCCACTCCACATTACAGCATTTAGGCAGCACAAGTGGAAAGCAATGCCAACTTCCTTCCCAGCCGCCACAAACTCCTTCACACCCTGTATTCAGTACAGGCAGACACCTGGGCTTGTCCCTAAACTGCTGCAGACAGAACATGCAGATACATCTCAGAGTGGGGGAAGGAGGAGGGAAAAATGTGGGCTTGAGGGGGGTGGACAAAACGTGGGAGAGAAAAATCCTCCACATGTAAGAATAGACATAAAAGAACAAAGAACAAGTTCTGGCAGAAAATACATAGGTAAGAAAATGTATATTTTCCCAGATGTGAAGCTTTAAGACTTGAATCTTTTCTTCTTAAAATACATCTTATTCTAAAAGCACACAGTCAAGAAACAATCAAGTTGTGAAAGAAAAATCTATAGGAACATCTTACAAATTTTATTTTAAAAATCTCCCAAAACACAGAAAAACCCTGCCAGCACCACAATGCAAGCAATTGAAATTACCCCAAAATACCGATACGCGTAGGAAGCATACATGGCAGGCTCAATATTCAAAAACGCAATCCATGTGAGAATAGTACGCAATGCAACTATTCACCTAGTGGAGCACGTTTCAAATATTCCATTTCTAGAATACAGTTGGCAGCTCTGTGACAATTTAAGCCTCAGTAAGTGGACACTGACCTATCATTCCCAGTTACTGAAGGTTTTGTGAATGATGAACCAGCGTGGCGAATCAGCAAGTCCTACGTACATCAGCTGCTGTTCAAACGAGTCCACTGACACCAGTGCCATAACACCCAGGCTCGCAAGTTTGCCTCTCTCTTAACAGAACACTTGGAAGTCTGCCCTGCAAGTGCCAAGAATCTCACTGGTAACATGAAAATGCTTTTCACAACAGTTTAATCTAGAAACAGAATATAAGGCTTGCGACTCACATGCAAAACGCTGTTCAGAGTTCAGTAAAATGATCCAGAAGTGGAAAGACTGAGAGCAAAAGCAGCATAAAATATACATCATAGGAAAAAGGAGGGAAGAGAGAAAATCAGAACAGATTAAGCAAATCTCTAAGAATTCCATAATTGTTTTTACATTATTAACACATCAAGAGCCAGAGGGGCAGTGAGAAGCAAAACTTTTCTAGGCAGTGTTCAGAAGTATCTTATATGTGTCTGTATTTTTAAAATCTGCCCAAAATAAAGCAGGTTAAGGTACAACTCCCTCATGGATCTTTCCTTAAGGCTAGGCACAGTTCTCCA